TACTTCCTAATGACAAATAACGATCAATAATGGTTGATAAAACGAATAGATTGTCAACTGATGAATAAAGCGAAACTGTACTTCCCATATATTCAGATTGACTGTCATTCAATATAGTTCTTTGGTATACCTGTTGTCAGATCACTGAACAAATGATATTTTGGCGATTTTACGGTATGTGAGCTGACAGCGTCAACGTTTAAACTATGTACAAGCACCAATAGAAGGTTGCATGTCGAAAATAACAATTGAATGTATGGTAGGTATCGGGGGATAAGAATAATATATTTTTGCGGTCTTCGTTTTTTTCATCGATCTACTATTTCAATACAGTCTTTTTCATAATTGTATCAACACAGATGTGAAGAATAAATCGCGCACAAACTTGTTCAAGGTCGTAACACGAAAAGGTGACGTATACATACTGCAAGCTAACAATGAAGAAGAACGGGACGAATGGTTAAAAGCTATCCAGACTCCAGATGCATACTCTACTTAGACTGACTGTCCGTGGTACTTGTGGGGTTTAATATTGTATTGTTATCAATGCACGTATGTACCCAGAAGATGCATTCTCATTTTTATTTCTGTATCGCGTCCATTGCGAAGAACACAAGCATGAGTTGTTGCGAGCAGACATCATTGTCGGGTGACTCCTGGTGGGCTGTATATATGGGTTCCTCCGCATTGTTTCTGACATGCTGAGTGAACTAAATAATTCAGTATAGGAATATTTTGATATAATGTTTTATATTTTTATACTACTATTTATTTTAATTTTTTTTAATATTCTAAATAATTTTCTCTGTGAGTTGCTTAATTGCATTAATTACATTTACACGTAGTGTTTGAATGCGTTGTCTACTGTAACCTAATTTATATTATTACATCACGTGATCTGTTTTCCAGTAAACTCATTTGTGGAATTATCTCTGCGAGATACGATTAGATTTAATTTACCAAATAACCTGTTTTTTCGTACATGTGCGTGGGAGTCAATTACAGTCACTGTAAATGTAATCACTGGAATTACATTATAAAAAGTAAATTAAAGTTGTCTTCAAGCTTTCACATATCATGTAAACAGAATAAGAATTATGAATTACTGTTACATTCTTTGGCATGTGTACTGATTTGAATGAAAGACGTATGAAAGATTCCGTCTGTACAGTATTAGAAGTAATACTGATGGCCATCTTCTCTTCTAATATTTAGTAGACGGGGTTCCCTCGGATAATGGCAATTCTTCGGATCCGAGTGGCAAGTTGCCCCAATAAACGGCCCGACCGAAAAGTAATTGCAAATCGCAAACAACGCCGCGTCACTGAGACGACCGTCTTCATACGAAGCGTTTACTTCCTCTCTGTCGCTTTATATGCGTGTGCCGAGAAATTCGGGTACACATACTAACAAAATGTCACATTGCTAAATACACATACTGAAAGTTCGTTCTCCCTAATTTCTCACAAGATAATGCGAATGAATTGAACACTGATATTTTGGACTGGCAACACCGTTACCACCGTTTACCTCCATGTCGTTACTAATCACATCAATTTCTCGTGCCATCATGTTCTCAGGATATTTTATTTAATTCCCGGCAATTGGTAGTAACTTTCTCTGTGAAATGGATATACCGCAAGACCGCATCGAAGGTTCCGAAAACATATGTATGCTAGTTGTGTAATTAAAATGGGGATAGACGCAAGGTGTTCCACAACCGCAATTGACACAACGTTTCGCAGGGAGTGTAGTTTGAACAAATTCATGTTTTTGTTTTGATATTAAAATCACAGTTACCTGTCGCCTATATTCAGGTGATAGAGTTTGTGATTCATGTCGACCAGGTCTTTGAAGCGCGGTAGTCGTCGCGCTACGCACGTGCGACATTTGTGTTGATAAACAATGATTTTCCCACAATCCAACGCGTTCTTCAAATGGAAATCACAAGTATGAGGTTTAACCTAGGTGCAACTTGCACTGATTACCGACGGTGACTCCTTCGATACCTTCCAATCACATGAAAATTACCTAATTAAACCTTGGAAATGTCTCAGTTAATACTCGTTGATCTGCGCAACAGTCAAAGTCGCCATCTTTGCTTATATGAGACCCATATATCTCGCACTTGCGCAGCGCGACGACTACCGCGCTTTAACATTACTTTCTAGCAACACACAATTATTATGTCCATGAATAATTCCCTTCACCAGCAGAAAATGCAAAAATAATCAAGACAGCACCAGTTGACCTAAAATTACTAAAATTGTAAAAATTACTACACAACTACGGCATTGATATCCCTGTTGTTGGATCTATCCATGATAATATCAACTCCTTCATTCCTTGGACCGATCAGAGATACATTAGGTCCCTTGCTATTAGGCCCACTATATCTCCCCCTGTTATAACTTCTCAAAGATAATATGATCTCCTTTTTTTATTGGACTATTCAAGGATAATATTGTGTTCTTCGTTCTTGGGACAACTCAGGGATACTATTATCTCTTTTGTTGTTGGGGCCACTCAGGGATAATATTATTTAAGGGTACAAACTTTAGCTAGCCCTGCGTAAACACTGCCGGCCGCCCAGGGGCATTCGAATTGGAGCGGCCAAACATGACCTTTTAAACAAAATACTCGAGGGGATTCCTCAGAATTCTGAACCTCACATACGATGTGCTAATGTGCTTTTATTATATCATTTTTAAATTCTGTTATTCTCGATTTTAATAACCCTAAACATGAGTCCCTCAACACGAGGGACTGTGATCATTTAGTTGCCAATGTAAAGTAAACACAAACCACTTCCAAACTCAGTATATATTCTGCCAGATTCTTCTGGAATCCAAAGAAATACAACTACATAATAAAATAAAGGATAGAATGGCGAAGTTTGGGTATGTAGCAACGCAGTTCGACGTCGTTAATGTTTTTTAAGGTGCGCCCTCACAGGTACCTGGGGGATGCCATTCCAATGTCCATTCGGGCAAGTCAACGATATCGACCGGAGTTCATGTATGTTTACGTCTGTTGTCAGGTATTGAATACACGATACTACGGTGTCGTGTTTAACAGTTATACGGACACAATGTCCTGAGTGTGACGATTTTACAGATTATCTTACTTCTACGTTGAAACAAGACTAATTTTGGGCTGGAAATTCGAATTTTGCCCAAAATTCCCTGCGGACAGACACCGCTGTCGTCCGTTTCTCTAAATGTAAGACCTGGACTTCATTTACAGTAGGATCGACGTCTGTCTGGTGAGTTCAGTGT